ATAATATTAATGGTCAGTAGTAGTATAGTAGTAGTAGTAGTAGTAGTAGTAGTAGTAGTAGTAGTAGTAGTAGTAGTAGTAGTAGTAGTAGTAGTAGTAGTAGTAGTATGATAACAAATTTCAACGATAATGATAATGGCAATAACATCAATCATAATAATAATGATAATGTAACAATGACAGTGCCAACTACAACAACAACGACAAAAAATGATAAAGAGAGCCACAGAATAGCCACCACCACCTCCCCGGCCAAGTTCTCCCCTGCCACTACCTGCTTCTCTGTCTCGCCCCCTCCCCCTTCCCTCTACCCCCCTTCGCGTCTGTTTTCCTTTGAAGATGGCGAATTCAGCGCCATCTATCGGCGACGTGTGGAACTATATGCTAGGTTGTAGGTGTAGTCGGACTTTTGCTCGTCGACACCGTACCTCTGATGGTGGTTTTTTTTCGGCTTTTTCGGTACAGTTTCGTAATCGATTTTCCGAATGGGAAGTGTGTTTTGGTGACCAGTCTTTAGCGACAGCAGATTTTTTTTTTTTTTTTTTTTTTTTTTTTTTTTTTTTTTTTGTATCGTAAAGGTGCTATCACACTAGCACTTTTTCCGTCAATTTTTGGACAATTTTATTTAACATAAATACAAACATTCTCGAATATAGCTCTTGATTTGACTTTGCTTGGTTGAAAAAGTTGACGGAAAGGTTTTCAGACGGAAACGATCATTATCGTCTGGCTGGAAAATCGACAGTTCGCTCAAAAATTGACAAAATTTCAGAAAATTGTCAAAAAATTGACGGAAAAAGTGCTAGTGTGACAGCGCCTTAACACTCCCGGCAGTAATAGATCAGCATTAGCCCTACACTATTCCTCTTTAGTAATGTGAGGTTGACGGAAATTTTAGAATGCTCAATTTGTAATGCTTTTCATATGTAAAGAATTGATTCATAACCTTTGAACTCTTAAGATATATCGTAATTACTCCCGCAGTATATGTTCGCGTATTTACTTTTTCACCTTTTTTTATTTATTTTTACCCCCAGCTTGAGAACCACTGATCTAGGTAGCTTGCTTCACCTCAGCCATAAGTATCCTAGAGTGAAACGAGGACATTTGAGATATTAATTTCATCGATAAATTATTTTCCCGGTTTAGAAAACGGCAAGATAGACAACTTACCATGGGCTGAACCCCTTCATCTCCACCCCAACCCAGCCCAAACCCCTCCCCTCCACCACTCCATCCCCGCCCTCCACGTCAACCAACCCCCATCAACAACCCTACTCCCGCCCTTCCACAACCAGATCCCCCACCTATCTCCATCCCCGCCCACCGTCTCCAGCCCACCGCCCCTTCTTCGCCCACCCGCCCACCCACACTTACGTTGTTCAGACAAAGCCACGGATTCCCGCACGGCCTCTATGTCCCCTTGAGCTTCAACGAGTGACGCGAGGATACCTTCTCTCTCCCTCTGCGCCGCCGCCTGCACGCCCTGCACCAGCCCCCGGACGTCGCCCAGCTCCTTCTGGTGCTCCGCCTTCGCCGCGCTCACTCCCGCAGACACTTCCTCCACCTTCGCCATCACGGCTGGGGGGAAGCGGGAGGGAAGGGTTGAGAAAGCACGCTCGTTAGGCATCCTTTTGGGAAGTGCATTCAGAAGGGTTTTTATCTTTTAAGAGAAGCACTCAAGAAGGGATGTGTTAGAAAAGGTATTTAGATATAATCGTTTATCTCGGATATTTAGATTTTTTAAGTATAAACAAAGTATTCATATTTTAAAATATACTTTGTAAGTGTTAATGTACAACTAAAATCTACATTTGTGCGCGTGTTTTGCCTACACACGCCGAGCATATATATATATATATTATATATATATATATATATATATATATATATATATATATATATATATATATATATATATATATATATATACACATATATATATTTATATATTATATATAATATATATATATATATATATATATATATATATATATACACACATACATACATACATATACACATATAATATTATATATATAATATAATATATATATTATATATATATATATATATATATATATATATATATATATATATATATATATACTCAATGCACCTCACTTTTTTTTAATGAAAAAAGGAAAGAAAATTCAGGCTTGGCGCCGCCCCTTACGCCAGCACCGAAACCTCCTTTACCTCCAGAGCAGACGTCGCAGGTCCGAGCCGCTCTCTCGCCCACCAGCCCGACCAGCTGATCGACCAGGGACGTCGCGGGGTCCTTGCTGCACTCTTGGGAACTCGCTCGTGCCAAGGTCCCCATCAGGAGGAGAGGCAGGGCGAGCGCGAGGGAGGGACTCCGAACCATGGCCGAACACGTAGGCGCAACGGTGATGTTTCGGGAAAGAACGAGCGACAGACCAGAAAGAGTTCGGATAGAGGAAGATTATGACTCCTTACTCCCTCGCTTGCCCGGCGTGAACTGATGCTAAAACTCCTGCCATTATGAAAACCGCCTCCTGCACACGCACACACGGACGAACGAACCGTGAATGGTAGAGGGCATCTGTATGGGGAATTAGGTCTCCTTTCATCACGTCGCTCCTCGCGCCAGGACACCGAGGGACAAAGAACGTATTCAGACGGGCATTGCGTAATTATACGCATGGAGACACATGCAAAGAAGCAAGCGTGTAGGTGAATGCGTAGTATATACAAACGGACATATGTATAGATACATACGTACATAAAATCATGAATACATACACATACATATATATATACACACACACACACATACACACATACATACATGCATGTATATAAACATACATACATATATACATGTATGTATACATATATACATATAAATGCATATACTTATGTGTTTATATATAACACATATACAAATATATAATATATATTTATATATAGGCGTTTCTGGTACATATTTCTATATTGCCAACCACTCTTATATGATACATAGATGTAAACGAACCAACACGGGAGGAAAGAAACGGAAGAGAAAGAGGAGAGAAGAAAGAAAATATAAATACAATATAAATACAAGCAAAGAATTAGATTAAACCACACAAAATGGGGAAAAAGAAGACAAAGGATATATAGAACAGCAAGAACTGAAGGAAAAAAACGACCAAACATTTTACACAACCACACTCGATGAAAGATGAGGAAGGGGAAATAGAAATAGTAAGTGAAAAAGACAGAGATGAAATATATTGCAAGAAAATTTCAGACAGATACTTCAGAGATTCCGAGGGTAGCGACTGGGGATTTAGTACCGAAGGGAATGTGCAGTACCACGAAGCGAGATGTAAAAAATGCAAAGAAAGAATGAAATATGGAAAATACCACTGGACTGGGTGGATTGCTGGCTGAGCCGTGACCGAGTGTGGGGGGAATAAACTAGATTTGGGAGTCGATATCAAAACTGTAATAGAAAATGAAGGAAAAGGAGAGGGATGGCGTGATTGCGCCAATATGCAAGAAGGGAGAAATCCAAATTAATTTTCTTATCGGAAAGGAATATGGAAGGAATAACAAGCATATTTAAGCGACTAAAGATGGGAGGGATAAAACCGGGTGAAAAGAAGGGGACACGAATAGTAAAGAAATAGATAGAATTTGCACCTGGAAGAGATATGGCGATTATTTGTTTGCAATAAAAAAAACGGATTACAAAAGTATCCAAAAAGATGCAAAAGTTGCAAAAGAGAACGAGAAAAAGGCTATGATAGAAGGATTAAAAGGAAAGAATGCTATGTAAGTTCAGCGGCACTCTGAGGATCCTTTCTTAAGCCCTTTCATATACAAGCTAAAATGTAGTAGAAAGAAAATTGGGTCCTAAAAGCTAACAGGAAGAAAATGGAATAGCTAAGGTTTCACGAAGGTCAGGATGCATGAACTGAAGAGCTGGAGAGAGAAAGAGAGAGAGAGAGGAGGGAGGGAGGGAGGGAGGGAGGGAGGGAGAGGAGGGAGGGGGAGGGAGGAGGGAGGGGGAGGGAGGGAGGGAGGAGGGAAGGGAGGAGAGGGAGGGAGGGAAGGAGGAGGAGGAGAGAGGAGGAGGAGGAGGAGGGGAGGAGGAGGGAGGGAGGAGGGAGGAGGGAGGGAGGGAGGGAGAGGAGAGGGAGGGAGGAGGAGGGAGGAGGAGGAGAGAGAGAGAGAGAGAGAGAGAGAGAGAGAGAGAGAGAGAGAGAGAGAAGAGAGAGAGAGAGAGAGAAGAGAGAGAGACATGGGAGTAGAAACACAAAACACAAACAAGAAAATTTAATTAGTAGCAAGAATTGAGATGATAAGGATGTTTAAATCAGGGAGTGAGGGGCACAAGACAGCAACCTGAGACTCGAGTGCTAAAGAAGACGACGGAAAAAAATTCTACAAGGCGTTCATAAGGGGCTGGTGTGTGTGGAGTTATTAAAGCATATTAAAACGGAGATTGAATATCAAACGCATATCAAAGCAGGAGAAATGTCTGAGAGAGCAGGGGAACGAACTTAAGAAGTGGCTCAAGCATATACAGAAAGGAAAAAAACAACGAAAGAATAAAAAAAAAACCGAGGGAGAGGAGGCCAAAGAACAGAGGAGAAGAGGAAGAGCAAAAAGGACGCGGTTAGGGAGCGTGAATAAGGATTTGAAAGAGAAAGGGAATTAGGGTGAAGTGTGCGGCGGAAACGAGTGGAGGAGCTGCGCCAAATTAGCGACCCCGTGGAAGTGGAAGGCGCTGGGAACGGAGGCTTGGGTAAATAAATGGAGGAAGGAGTTAATGAATGAACGAAAGAAAGAAATGTATATATTCGTATAAATACATACACATCTACATATATCTATATTTATATATGTGTGTATCTATACGTATATGCAAGTATGTATACATCTATGTGTGTGTGCGTATGTATGTTCGAATGAATCCCTTGGACGTTCGTGAATTTTATGAACAAACAGACGCGAGCGAGCCGAGAGCCTGCTTCTTCAAAAGGCTTCACTTGGGCGGCCAACCGTTCCGAAGATCTCTTATTTGGTTCTTTGTGCTTTTGGTCAAGTTACTTTAAGATTTATTCCTCCCATCATTCCGTATATTTCGCTTTAAGAGACAGACACAATCATGTCGCATTTTGGTATATGGTGGCCTGGTCTGACCTGATGTTTGCTACCCTGCCTGGACGATATGGATTATTACCTCCTATTAATAAACCGTAAGAACCACCATTTAAAACACTGCTTTTGCTTTGACGAGAGAGAATGCCGGATACAAAGCACGTCAACTGCGGGCTTCAGAGTGAAACTAATTTGTCGGGAAAAGGTTTCTGAATGACATCTTAGCAAACGGACGCGCTGGACCAAAAACTCGTGCTTGAAAGATAAACAAGAAGAAGCATTTCCTCCGCAGTTAAAAAGGGAATATTTTTAACGGCGCGGCGTCGTTGTCTGCGAGGTCGAAGTCTGATGTCGTGATTCGATATTGCGATAATAATTGGAATGTCCAGGAATCAATGCGAATTCAAAGCCTAACAGGAAGGACGAACGAGTACCCAATTGGTGGCAAATCGCCGCGTATGAATTGTTACGAGTCCGTTATGCAAATCACATTTCTCAGCAAATTCGGTTCAGCTCGGCGAGTTTGAGACACTGGCGGAAATTGGCGAGGCACGAGCTGCAAGCCGGAACAGCATGGTCCTGTGGCATCACCGGCACGAGTTCTTTGCATTCACATGGATGCTGTGGATCCGTAGAGTTCTAGGATCGACATTTACATAAAAAGTTGCGTTCATACTGTGATGTGCTGGGTTTATGTTTCATGGAGAGGACGGCAAGCCAGGTGGACCGACGTCTATACTCGTAGAATCATGGCGAAACGAATAAAAGACGTTGCTTATAAAGTAAATATAAAATTGAAGAAGAGACTCCTGGTTGAGTGACTCGTTTTAGTCCCGAAAAATAATTCACTTGTGAAAATCGTGTTGCCATTGCGTTGAAATTTATATATTCCATTTATATATAAACATACTTGATATATTATGCATATATATACATGTACATACATATGTATACATACATACATGCATACATACATACATACATACATACCACACATACATGCATACATGCACACACACACACACACACACACACACACACACACACACACACACACACACACACACACACACACATAACTATATATATATATATATATATATATATATATATATATATAATATATACTAATATATACACACACACACACCACACACACACACACACACACACACACACACACACACACACACACACACACACACACACACACACACATATATATATATATATATATATATATATATATATATATATATATATATATATATATATATATATATATATATATATATATATATATATATATATATATATATATATATATATATATATATATATATATATATACATAATACACTATATATATATATATATATATATATATATATATATAGGAGAGAGAGAGAGAGAGAGAGAGAGAGAGAGATACTTGCTTATCTTTGTGAAGTATATCTATGCAAAGGCTTCAGAACTAATTTGCAAAACATTGAAGGAAAGGAATTTATAATTTTGTCTTTGGCGTCGAATAACTGACATTTTTTTCGTAAGGAAATGTCCTCAGAAAGGCACAGACACATTATTTAATTTGCGTAAGAAATATTTAATTCTTCAAGAGGCTATATCGAAATAACAATAAATGTTGACCGACTAAATCAACAAAATAAATTCTGCCTGCTTGAGTAGTCGAATAGTTTTTAGAAATCTTCTTGTAAATCTTCTTGTGGTTTCTTGTAATATGGTGAGTTTATGATGACAGATTTAGTTTTATTTTTTCGATCATAAGTTTCGCGAAGATATAATGATATTTAGGAAATATTCACAGGCAACGTTAATACCATAGAAGTGATGAAAAACAGCAATAAAACAGTAAATCCTCTTGATCTATATACAAGGTTTCTTATAACATAGTGCGGTTATGATAAAAGATTTAGTGTTATGGCGATAATCCTGACGAATATAATCGTTCCGATCATAACTTTCGCGAAGAAATACTGATGCCACACGACCTTTAGGTATGAATGAATGAATGACTACGGTATCTTGTAAAATGAATTAGTACCAGTATCAAAAAGAGAAAAATGATAATATTCACAAGCAACTTTCATACAATAGAAATAAAAAAAACATAGTAAATGTAGGAATATTGAAAAGTATCTACTAATAAATCATTGTGATCACAATTATCAACAATACCAAGGCGACACGATGAGTACATTCAGAAACAAGACAAAAGTAAAGGATAACATTGAACAACGACAGTCCTGTACGTAACCGTGTCAATAGTATGCCACTGTGTCGGTGGACGGCGGACCGTGAATGGCTGCGTGTACTCGGATCGTGATATAACCCAGTGCAATATACCGTACAGGATCTCCCCTCCCT